TTTTTCTTTTCAAAATAATAGAAACCTATTGGTTATAAATATGATAACTGCTGGTGTTTGAGGTTTAAATCTTGCTTTTAGTTAAACTTGTTGAAGTAATGGCTTCCGTATACTGTATGGTAATGATTCAATGGAATCAATTGTAGTTAGTAGGTATACCCAGCACTGTGAAACAAAAATTCTATGCGGAGCGATCTTTTTCGTGAAATGTGGACAAAATATTCCCACAAAATTAAGGCGCCCTTGAAATAAGAGTTTTCGAGGAATTTTATTAACTATTTTTGTTGATATTCTGATACTCACATAACCTCAAAATAAATTTGCTTTGTTTTTAGAAGTAAGCTGTTAACCATATACCCTGAAATGTGTTTTTATTTGATTTACTTGCTTTTCGAAGGGCTAAAATGATATATTTCAAACATATTATAGAATATTTTTGATTGGATTTTTATAATAGTGGATGAATTAAAATGGCTACTTTTACAATTTCGACCTATAGGGACTTTTTCCCATAATTATTTACCAATAGCATATATTTTCTAGAATGCAGGTCCAGATAAACGTGCATTATTAACTTTGTGGTTAAATTTACCCATTTTAAGATCTAAAAATTACTTTTAGGTAAATTTAAATAAAGGCCGGAGCCGGAACTAGATCCGATAACCGATAATGCATAGGTAAATGAAAGCGCCCCTGCTGAATCTTATTAAACCTCATTTTCGTAGGCCAATTTTATGTAATCAGCATCAACATTCTGATTACCACCAATATCATCAACACTACTTGTTGAAATTGTTGACTTTTTGTTGAATGAACATTTGGAAATGTATGGGGTGATACAATCTTTTTCGGTGATATAGGTCTTTGAGTGGCAGAATTATTTTTAGCTTCTCTATAGTACTGTGACGTGTTCCTTTAAGCCTTGGTCCTTTTGGTTTTCAACTTTTTAGACATGTTCTTGAAACTAACAAGGGCGAACGAACACACTAAGGAAACGCAACCACAGCGAAGATATTATTTAGGTTATAGGTTATAACACAAGAAATTCTAATTTAGAAGAAAACATAGCAGTGGGAGAAATATTTGTCATTGAAAGCTATTTTTGGGAGCATTAACTTTGAGAACATTTTTGCAAGTAATTTTTGACCATAATTAAGACTTTTATACCTATAGGTCTCTGGAACTAGAACTATTTTCTTTAAAGTCCAGTTACAAAGTTGAAATTAGACCAAATATTTACCAAAAAAATCCTTTTAACCTCAAGGTCTGTAATAAGGCTATTTAGCAGACACTTTGACCAATTTTTTACCAATATACCTAAATAACTTGGAAGGATTTATTCTTGGTAATAAATGGCATAATTTTTACTTGCTAGGATGACAAAAAAAAAACCTAACTTTGAGTACCTATTTTAGGTTGATATTGAGTAAGTTATGACCCCTTAAATTGGGTTTGAAAACCTGAATTCTTTAAGCGTTTTTAGAAGGTGAATATTTAGTAGTTTTGAACCAATAGTTTCAACTTCCTAGTCAAATGTCTTCTAGGACTATAATCAGGTATACCATTACTAGTTTTGGAATTCCAGCTCAACGCTTGAAGACATATTTTACTTTAATAACATTATTTAAGGAAATAATTACTAAAAGTTGACAAATTTAGGTAACTTTTTCTTGAGTGGTAGTCTATTGCACCAAAATGCTAGTTGGGTAGGGTAATTCCATTAATTAGCCACCAACGAGTGCCCCTCATACCCTCAATTTTTTTTCATTTTTTAACTGTGACTTGACAAAGAAGTCCAAAAATCAATACTTTTTTTTTTCTTACTCCCCACCTTTTTCTTGAAGACCGTGCAAAATTTATCATGCAGAGTTAACTTTAAAAAATTCTAGTTCTTCTCCTAATCAAGTGATCGCCATCAAGCAAACTGCTAATTGTTAACAAGTCTAGTCTCTTTAAACCAACGGAAAAAAAATAGCTATTTATACAATAAGTTGCGAAATGAGCGTCTTTTAGGCACGCGACGTGAAAATTGTCCAACGAGGCAGAGCCGAGTAGGACAACACGTCGAGTGACTAAAAGACTTCGTTTCGTAACGTATTGTATACAAGATTTTTTCTACTGGCGTTTCATAATAAAAAACACAATTTTATTTCAATGTTTGTCACCTGCTTTTGCTTGACACCCTTCATGATGGTGACTAATATTCATAATAAATACAAAACAAAATTTAAATCTGTGTTTAGTGTGTTTTTTATTTCTGAACAATGAATGACACTTTTAGGCACTAGTGCCTAAAAGTTACTTTTACGCACTTGAAAGTTACTTTTACGCACTTGAAAGTCACTTTTACGCACTGAGTGCCTAAAAGTCACTTTTACGCACTGAGTGCTTAAAAGAATGTCGTTTCAAAACTAAAATGACAATCGAAAAGTTGCTATTATGAAACGTCAGTAGAAAAATTAAATATCGATACCGTTACGGGTCTCTGCCAATTATTTTAAAAATTCAATTTTTTTTGGAAATAACGTAACTTTATACATTCATATATTCTTAGGGCACCTGACAAACAGTTTTTTTTTAACGTATTCTATTAACCAAGACCTTACTCTATATAAAGGCACTAAAACATTTCAAAATAATATCGGCTTACTGTTAAAAAAAATTTATTTTGAAATTCATGTTTTCCAAAATATACTCTTTTTAGCCATTTCAGGAGTCAGGAAGGCCATGTTTGAGTGAGTCGATTTGAACCTAATCAGGGTAGTCATCACAGGCGCTTATTGGTCTCTAATAATCACAAATAAAATTGTTGTGTATTTTTGTTTTAGTTGTCCTGTGAACGCATATGTCTCTCCTGACTAAACCTAAACAAATTTGGTATTAATACTTGAATAAGGTGACAAAATATAAATTGAAGAACTGAGACACACTTTTCACAAATTTTGTAAAATAAAAACTATTATAAACATAAACAACACGTATCACAACATGCACAGCAAAACATAAGCTGAATTCTAGGCTGAAATTAATTGACGAGAGAGAAAAAATTTTGAACGTTTACTTTAATTTTAAAGAAAAGGGAAAAAACAAATAGTAAATAGTTTTTCTTGTGTTTTGAAATTAATGTTCGGATGGGAATCCAGTTGCTCTCGCTAGTTGGGTATAACCGATCGTCGGTACTACATGGTAAAGTTCTTCGTACAAAGTGACATATCACTAGTTTACTTTGTAATAAGGAAAATCCTTCTGTTATAATGGAAAATAATGGCAGGTATGTCATTGCAGAACGAAGCGAAATGGAGCAATACATGATCGGCGTTTTTGATAGGCACTTTAGGCCAGCTTTGCGCCAAATGACCGAAGAAAATTTAATCGCATTTATACATGGACGACGGGTTTCAAATCGCCAACAGTATAGAGAAGAAATAGTTGCCTTTCTTGGCAATATTACGGAGTCTGTAGGAGCTGCAAATAACAATGGTTTGCTGAATCCTCCAGAGGTGGAAGAACCAACAAGAAGATCCAATATTGAGGAATAATGTTGATGTATATTATTAAATGTTCGAGAATAAAATTGAATGTCATATTTAAGCCAAAAGTAAATAAAGTTATGATGTAATATTTTACGGTAGAAGTGTATTAATATGTTGTTATCGGTGTACAGTGGGAATCATTGCAATTGGCACACACTCTTTAAAATCCCTCGTATTGAGTCAAAATTCTAACCAATAAATCTATTTTGTGCAGCATTTTGCTATTACTGTGTGTCATATTTGACACATTACGAGAGATATTTATACCGGGTGCCCACGAGATCACTTTCCGGCTGCCATTTTTTTATTTGTCTATCGATATCAACGAAACTTGGTAGGGTTGATATTCTAACCAAACGCCATTTCAATGCATTATTGACAAGTTTTGTTGACTTCCGGTTTCACCGGAAATGACCGGAACTTTTAATTTTTAAATGGCACACCCTGTAGATTTTTTGTTTTTCGGATTCTACAGATCATTTTACGTCCCAATCCACCATTTTTGAAACAAGTTTTGTCCAAATTTTGTTTCTAAATTAAATTTTAATTTTTCAACTAGAGTGCCATGATCATCCTAAAATGACTCTACATACTTTACTTAATTTCAGAAAAATACAAACTGAATTTTATCTTTTTAAACTTTTTTGATAGAGGGCTGTAAACTTCATTATTTTAGTATTTTTGCCCTAGCTCAAAAACTAGAATAGGAACATATCACTTTCATAACATTACTAAATGCAGTATTTTGAAGCGAATCCAAGGATATAATACACTAGGACATTTTTCTTAATTTTCGTTCAAATATTTTTGTTTTATTATGTAGGTTATTTTTTTTTCTACTTAAAATTTAATTTGAAAACGGAATTTGGACAAAGTTCGATTTAAAAGTGGTACATTAGGACGTAAAACGATCTGTAGATTCCATAAAACAAAAAATATACAGGGTGTGCCATTTGAGAATCAAAAGTTTCGGTAATTTCCGGTCAAACCGGAAGTCAGGAAAAATTGTCATGAATGCACAAAAATGGCATTTCGTTAGAATATCAAGCCAACCAAGTTTCATTGATTTCAATCAACAAATAAAAAAATGGCAGCCGGAAAGTAATCTCGTGGGCACCCGGTATAGTGTGTGCCAATTGCAATGATTCCCACTGTACACGTAGGGCCGGTTCAAAAGAAAGTACCAGCAAAACAGTATTAGCCAGACGCCACACTAGTCTGTGTATAAAATACTCGAAAAAGTGGAGATAAACCAAAACGAAATAAATATATTCAATTGACAAATTGATCCTATTTTTAGGTCCTTCAACATAAACATAAAATCCTATGTTCACACACAATTTTTAAATGATATCGTCCCTGTCGCGATCATTTCTTTGCAATGTTGAAGTTTCAAAACAGTAGGTCTAAGTACTTCACTATAGACGGTAATTTTTGACGGTATTTTGTAAAAGGAATTATTCAAAGATGTCGAATAGTTCGAAAATGGATTGTTCCGTTGGTAAACTAGTTCATGAAGAGTGCCATAAAAAAAATTATTCCCGATTTTCCAAAATTGAGTCTTATACTAAGGAGGAAAAGGATTTAATAGAATGGAGACTAGAGGAAACTGTAACAGATATTTGTACGTATCATAAACTCAAGTATTTAGAATATTTTAATAAGGGTTTTGGTGGAGCTTGCTGCGATCCATTTAAAAGTCATAAGGCCTTAATTAAAAAATAATTAAGAGTTTTGGATTTAGAAATTTGTGAAACTTATTCGCACTTGAAATTAGTTCCGGGAAAAAGTATCTGTACAAACTGTTTTAAAAAATTGAAGGAAGATAAAGAAGCTATTTATATGGATGTAGATATGATAGAAGAGGAATTTGAAGGTAATGATAATGAGGATAGTGCTTTTGTCTTTACAGAAGAACTTAAAAGAAGTATAGGCGATGTTTGCTTTACACTTAAATTGGAAGGCTTGCCAAAAAAACTTAAACGTGGAACAGTAAAACGCTGGATAAAAAATAAGGTTCTAGAAGTCTCGAAAGCTTTTGAGAAGATATGTATTGAGGCCTTCAATTTACCTGGCGAAGCGAAACAAAGAAAATGTTGATAATCTGGACCAAGATTACTTTGAATTAATAGATGAAGTCAAAAAGAAAATATCGACGGTGGATTACAAAAACAAAATTAATCTTATAAGTATAGCGCCCAAGTCTTGGTCTCGTGAAGGAACAGCTAAAGAACTAAATGTTTCCCCAAATACTGTGAGAACAGCAAGACAAGCCATGAAAAATGATGGAATCCTACCCTATATTAAAAATGAAAACAAACAAGGAAGACATTCACTTTCTAAGGAAATGTCTGAAAAAATAATTCAATTCTACTTGGAAAATGATATAAGTCGACCTTGTCCAGGGGCTAAAGAATATGTTTCAGTGAAGGATGATAATGGAAATAGGATTCATATGCAAAAAAGGTTAATTCTTTCAAATTTGAAAGAAATTTATACATTTTTCAAAGAACAGAACCCAGCTGCACAAATAGGGTTTTCAAAGTTTGCAGAGTTGAGACCCAAGTGGTGTATCTTGGCAGGTGCTTCGGGTACACATACTGTCTGTGTTTGTATCTACCATCAAAATTTAAAGTTAGCCTCCAACGTAATTTCGAGAACAATAAATTACGCGGATTACATAAAAGCAGCGGTGTGTGATATTAATTGTGAGCAATGTATGATGTCAGAGTGCGAACAATGCCCCAATGAAAAAGGAATTGATGATTTCTTGTCTACAATTCAAGAGTCACAACCATTAGCTGAATCTGTAGAGTACAGTCAATGGATCTCTAACGACAGGTGACGTTTGTTCGCAGCATGAATCTTTAAATAAAAAATGTTCCAGTTTGTTTTTTATTTCAGATGTCAAATGAAGACCCTAAATGAAAATTACGAAGAATTTATGAAAAACTTCAAAGAACAAGTTCTGAAAACGAAACCCCATCACTACATCTCTAAAAAGCAAAGTAACTTTTTGCGAGCAAGAAAAAAGAACTTGGCAGAACACGAATGTATTGTGATGTGTGATTTTGCGGAAAATTATGCTTTTGTGGTACAGGATGAAGTTCAGAGCTTTCACTGGAACTCATCTTCTGCTACGTTACACCCATTCGTAATATATATTTCGAGATATTTCAGGCATGCTGCAATGTGACTCTTTTTGTGTATTGAGTGATACCAAAACACATAGTACCTTAGAATTTGCTATATTTCAAAAACGTTTTGTCACCCTCGTTAAACAAAAGTATCCCAGGTTGTTGAAGTTTATTTATATGACAGATGGATGTGGTGGCCAGTATAAAAATAAGAAAAATTTTCTAAACCTATATAACCATAAACGAGATTTTGATATTGATGCCGAATGGCATTTCTATGCCACATCACATGGCAAGAGTGCATGTGATGGGATCGGTGGAACTGTCAAACGCTTAGTAAGAAAAGCAAGTTTACAACGAGAAAATAATAATCAGATTTTAAATATCAATGATATCTACAAATTTTGCGTTGAAAAAATTAAGACTATAACATTTTCACTCGTCATCCAAGAAGAAATTAATTCAGAAAAACCGTTCTTTGAAAGTAGGTTTCAATCTGCATTAACCATAAAAAATACCCGAACATTTCATTCCTTTATTCCTCTTGATAATAACATTATTGAAATCAGAAAAATTTCCGAGTCAGCTAAGTTTCTTCATTTTAAAATTAGTAAATAAAAATAGTATATTGTGTATTTAGGTGGAAAAGTGACACATTCTCGGCCGACGGTGTGAGTTGACGGACGAGGCGTAGCCGAGGCCGGCAAACACCGAAGGCCGAGAATATGCTTTTTCACCGAAATACACATACTATTTTTTCTGCGATCGGTTAAATACCTGTTAAATGTTTGTCTTTTAGTTCCAATTATTCAGCAATACGAGAATCACTTTCCCGGCCTAGGCCGGAAAAGTCTTTCCTGTATTGTTATTCATTGATTCCTTAGCAACTATTGAAACCTAATTAAAATACCAGAATATTGAGTTTTGCAACCTTTCAACCGGTCAAAAATGCTGACATTTCTTGTCAAACGCAGAAAAACATTTTATTTTTCTCTTTTTTTTTTAAATTAAAGTAAAAGTTCCGAATTAATATTTATTTTAGTTCAATTAAATTCAGTTAATGTTTTGTTTTGTTGTGTTAGGTGTTGTTTATGTTTATAATTATTTCTATATTAAAAAAAATTTGAAAAGTGTGTCTTAATTGTTCAATTTATATTTTGTCACCTTATTCAAGTATTAATACCAATTTTATTTAGGATTGTTGGAGACCAATAAGCGCCTGTGATGACTACCCTAATTAGGTTCAAATCGACTCACTCAAACATGGCCTTCCTGACTCCTGAAATGGCTAAAAAGAGTATATTTTGGGAAACATGAATTTCAAAATAATTTTTTTTAACAGTAAGCCGATATTATTTTGAAATGTTTTATTGCCTTTATATAGAGTAAGGTCTTGGTTAATAAAATACGTTAAAAAAAATTTTTTGTCAGTAGGCCTAAGAATATATGAATGTATAAAGTTACGTTATTTCCAAAAAAAATTGAATTTTTAAGGTAATTGGCAGAGACCCGTAACGGTATCGATACTTAATTTTTTTTTCGTTGGTTTAAAGAGACAAGACTTGTTAACAATTAGCAGTTTGCTTGATGGCGATCACTTGATTAGGAGACGAACTACAATTTTTTAAAGTTAACTATGGTAAATTTTGCACGGTCTTCAAGAAAAAGGTGGGGATTAAGAAAAAAAAAAGTATTGATTTTTGGACTTCTCAGGTCTTTGTCAAGTCACAGTTAAAAAATTTAAAAAAATTGAGGGTATGAGGGGCACTCGTTGGTGGCTAATTAATGGAATTACCCTGTAGGAGAAAATTAAATATGGCAGACATCTTTTTTATGATATTTAATGTACTCGCACGTGATAAAAGGATCTATTAACATACATATTATATTTCTTGGGTTGCGGAGGATGAAAGTGGGTGTTTTAGACGTTTTTGTGGAAATACAAAAAAACATTGTTTTTCACTGAGCACTAGCGCGGAGACCGCTTATCATAAAATCGAAGCCGACTAGGGCATTTTGTAGGAAATTTTATTTACTTCAAATTTGTAGTGAACGCTCATCTTCAAAAACCATAGAGTTTTTGAGATATAAGCCAAAAACTGAAAACAGTGCCGAAAAATTAAGTTTTTTTGCATTTTTGGCTATGAATCCGAACTCCTACAAGGCAGCAAACCATAAATTCGGTTTCAGCATTCTCAAAAACATATAAAACCGTTGAAAAAAAAAATTCGCAGTTTTTTTACGAAAAAGGCAGTTTTAAGCACGCATTTACTGGACTATTTAAACCCTTCTGCGATTTGAATGCGACCGTCTGCCAGGGTTTTCTTTTTTAACTTTGGTTAGTAACATATTTGGTAATGTTTTGACACAAAAATAAAAGTGGTAACCTATGAGGTAGTTGATGGCGTTTTTTTGACTTTTCAGAAAAAAATAAATCTAATAAAGCCACCACTTACGCCCGGCAGACGGACGGTTTTGGAATCACCATGTGAGGTAGTATCGACATGTCAATTCCTCCCTCTGGTAACCTATGAGGTAGTTGTTTTTACTGCCAGCTCTCGGACTAATAAAAGAATTAATTGAAGACTGACCCATTGGTCAGTCTTCAATTTATTTGCTTCTTTAATCGCTGATTGAAGAGCTTCATGGTCGACTTCTTTTAGTCTCACAGTTGTGGTATTCTCTGGAAGTTCCGGAATGTTGATGATGGGGAGTTCGAGTTCTAGGTTGAAGTTCTCATGCGTGTCTTCCAAAAATGTTCCATTTTTAATTGTCATTGAACATTTTCCAGCATATTTGCATGTATTTCTTCTGGTTACATTGCAGCATTGCTACCACATGTCGTTTAGGAATATCCAATACTTGATTATTGGGTATTTGTTCCATTGTTGATTCTTCGTATTGAATTTTCGTGAATGGGCATAATTGTTGTTCACTAGATACAATATGGTGAACAAAAGGCTCATCTTGTTTCAATAGTTCCATTTTGCACAAATAAATGTCTTCAATATTTGGACATTTTTGTAGAGCATTGTTATACGTATCTGTGGAAGGTAACAAGTAAGGATACTTAATTAACACTAAATGTATAATTTTTTACTCTTTGTAGATCTAAAGAAAGTATATGACAATGTTCCGCTAAAAAAGCTTTGGGAAGCACTGGAAAAGACCAATATCAATTTAGAACTGATAAAGGCAGTAAAAACGCTCTATAGTGATTCAAAAACCAATATTAAACAGGGAAACATGATCAGTAAAGGCTTTATAGCAACTAAAGGACTTAAACAGGGATGGTGCATATCACCAACACTTTTCAAAATATATTTAGAACAAGCGCTTAAGGAGTGGAAAAACAAATGCAGACACATGGGAATACCGCTCAATGAATACAATCTATATACTTTAAGCTTTGCAGATGATCAAGTAGTAATTGCACAGGACTATGATGACCTAGAGTACATGACACGAAAACTGATAGAGGAATATGAGAAATGGGGTTTGGAAGTAAATCTAACTAAAACAGAGTATATGACCATAGGAGGCGAACAGCAATCTCTCAAATTGAATAACGGACAAGAAATAAAACAATGCACTGAATACAAATATTTGGGCATGAAAATCTCATATGAGGGAACCCTAGACGAAGCAAATAAAGATCGGAATATACAAGGACGCAAGGCAATATCCCTACTAACTGGTGTACTGTGGGACCAAAATATCAACAAAACCAACAAAACTAGAAGATACAACACCATAGTCAAAAGCATAGTCACATATAGCTCAGAAGTTTGGCCACTAAAGAACCGAACCGCAAAAATGCTGGAAGCAACTGAAATGGACTTTTGGAGGGGATCGGCAGGCAGGTCAAAAATGGAAAGGATAACAAATCTGAGAATAAGGGAGATTATGGACGTAAAACACACAATAGTAGATGATATAAAGGACAAACAACTGATTTGGTTCGGACATGTACAAAGAATGGCAAATACAACGATACCCAAGCAAATTATTGAGTGGAAGCCAGGGGGAAGAAGAAGACGCGGCAGACCAAGAAGAAGCTGGAGAAGTGGAGTGGACGAAGAAATGAGAGACATAGGCTTAGAGGAGGATGCCTGGATTGATAGAGATGGTTGGAGATCGGGAATCGGAAGACGTAGAACGTTATAAACCGATGATTATATATAGTATAATTTTGGATGGGCATAGGAAATAGTTTATACAATATGAGAGGTTTAGGATTAATTATTGGTGTAAATATAGTAAATACGCATGTTCGTATTTCTACACTAGCTGTACTACATAAACTGCAGAAATACTGAAAAACCTCCAACATACTATAAAATTCAAAAAAATCACTGATATCGACGGGTTGTATTAATTTCTAGAGCAAGAAGTGCGGCCCAAATATTGTAACCTGCAGCCAACTTGAAAAAACAAAGGATGGAAAATAGAAAACGCTCTTTAGCAATCTTGACGTTTGACATATTGTTTTAAAATGTGAAGTGACATGCGTTCACAGTTCATGTCACAGGTTGTTACCGTTGATAGTCGTAGGAAAAGTATAGTCTAAAACATGTATGGAATTCAAATTTTTTCACTCGTATAGCCTCTCGTGTAGAATTTCGCTTATCACACACTGGTTATAGAATATACTATTTGTTAGTATTATTTACGGCACCAAGAACCGCTCCGTAGAATTTATTTTGGTAATTCTTGGAAGATTTCGAGCAAATAACATCAATTTCAACGCACGCGCAACCGAATGGAATGGTTCAAAGGTGCATTCAGCGAAACTTAAAGGAGACCAGCTGACAAGGTGTGGCCGTACCTGGGCTTGTCAGTCATACAAAACGCGAAAATGGGTTAACATGAATAGCCCAGGATTATTAGGAGTGTGAACACAAAATTTTTCCGAACCAGCTAAAAATTGGTATACGTGTTCGATTTTTTATCTGAAATAACATGCTAAAACTCCCCGCGCTTCCCCCGCTTGCTTTGTCCACTGGATTACTCGGTGATGATTCCATTAACTGCGATAGGGCTTTGGAGATTGGGAAGGAATCAATGAAAAAAGTGAATGGCAGTATTTTGAAGAGTTACAGTTGAAGAGAAAAGACAAAGTTAGACCTTTCAAGCTTTAAATCACCGCATAGTTATTCGGAATACTCGCATAGAGGTATATTCACAACAACTCTTCAATAGAATAGAGCGTGTCATGAATAGCGAAGACTTTAAAAAGAAAGCTTTTAAATATGATTTTACACCAAAACCACCCTGTTTATCTGATGATATTTCATTTCGGAAGACAACAAGGCTAAACTTGCTAAAAAAATTTAATATTTCTTTCCCTGCACATCAACCACCGATTCGGAGACATCTTATGTTCTGGATCGTGGATAGCTCGTAGATGTACTGAATTGGCCTGCGCGGCCTGCAACGTATGAACATGTATGTAATTCGTATGTATCATATATTACGCAAAAT